CCCCTATCGCGGGGGCGTCCAAGAGGGGGGCGTCCAAGAGGGGTGTGTGCAAAGCATGGCCCGAGGCATGTGCGCGGACCAGGGGGGGGGCCACGGAATATGTTAAAATGAGAAGAGGCGCCATGAAACCTGAGGAAATGTCCTGGCCCACGCCCGATATCCACCCCCCCCTAGTCATCACCCCCCTCTTGGCCGCCCCCGACTATCAGGCAAACGCAAGCATGGATCAAAGGGGCGTGGATTAGCGACGGGTCCCGCTTCCATTGGAAATCGCGGATTTCCGCCATCGAGCGAGGCGGCACCGGCCGCATTTTGGGGAGGGCACCTCCCCCGATCCGTGGATTTGGCGGCCGCGCGCCAAACCCATGGATCGCCAACCCGTGCTTGCGCGCCCGCGAGATGGCCCGCCCCGCCCAGGACTGTGCGGCTCCGCTGCAGGAGCTCCACTCTGGAAAAAAATGTTTTTTTTCTGAGGAAAAAGGATTCGGCGGCCGCGCGCCAAATCCGTGGATCGCTAATCCGTGTCTGCGCTCCTCCGAGACTGCCGTTGCTCAGGAGGGAAAAAAGACACAGACACAATGAATCGTCGACTCTCCACGAAGTATGGGAAAATAGGGGAAGTGGGGGGGAAGACAGAAGCCCAGAACACATGGGGAAATACGGGGCATATTTTTACGTGTGTGTATTTATTTGTGTGTGTCCTTGGGCCCCTTCGAGACTGCCGTTGCCGGAGGAGGAGGAGGAGGAGGAGGAGGAGGGAGGAGGAGGAGGAGGAGGAGGAGCAGGAGTAGGAGGAGCAGGAGCAGGAACAGGAAGAGCAGGAGGAGGAGGAGAAGGAGGAGGAGGAAGAGGAGGAGGAGGAGGACGAGGAGGAGGAGGGGGGCCCCCGAGAGGGGTGCGGGGCGCCCCGCGGGGCCGCCGGCCGCGGGCAGCTCCTGCGCTGGCCGCGCCGACTCGCGCGCCCCGAGCGCGCCCGCCGAGCAGGGGGGAGCATCTGGGCGTGTCCTGGGCGCCTCCTGGACATGGAGGGCAGATGGAGGCCCTCGGCTCGGGTTGGGGTGGCTTGGTGGATGGTGAGCGCTATCTCCTGACGGTCCCCGGGGACCCGGCGAGGGCCCCCAGGGGCCGAACACGGCCAAGAGCCTCCCCGTCGTGTTTTTCGCCCGCCGCGCAAACCTGGGCGGCGGGCGTCTCGCCGCGCGCGCGGCTCGGCGGCGCCCGCCGAGGCCCCGCCCGGGCGCTGTCCCTGCAGGGCAGTTTTTTTTTAACACACAAGATATTTCAAAGCACAGGATGCTCAATGCATGATTCATTTAGGAATGCATGTATGCATGAACCCATCGTTGTTTTTGATACTAATTCCCTGCATTCTAATGCGTGAACCGCACGCGGAGCATGTATAAAAAAAACGGCACTGTACCTTCCCCCACCGCCAGGAAGACAGGAGAGCACTGCTTCGTCTTAGCCCCCTCACAACCGTGCTGGGCTCAGCCGTGCGGGGGAGGCAGGATTGGTGGCAGCGGTCTTCGATCTCGAATACCATGGGTCAGTCAGTCAGGCATGAGTTGGCGGCGCGCACGAGGGGCGCAGGGGGAGGGGGGAGGGCTTCTGAGAAGGAGGTTGCTCCTGAGGAGGCGCTGGCCCCACGTCTATGAAACAAGGCCCGCGCCTTCTACGAAGCAGGGGTGCTTCTAAGAAGCCTTCCCCCCCTCCCCTTGCCCCCCTCCGCGCGTGACTGAATGATCGCGCCGCGAGAAACTTCGGGACGGAGTTCGAAGCTGTTCGTCCTCCTCGGCCTCCAGAGACTCCCGCTGGGCCCCGGGACCGTCAACGAAATCCGCAGGATGAAAAACCGGTCCCAGGGAAAAGGTCTCGACTTCCGGGGACCGCGTGCTCGTTCCGTCGCTGCTGCGTCGAGCGCCCGTCGGCTGGAGCGGAAGCTGAGCAGAAGTTGCGTCGAACTAGAATCGAACGGATGCGTTGGGTGGGCCCCAGGAGAACCCCCCCAAACTCGGCTACACGCAAGAGTGACCCTGGGTAAGAGTGACCTTTGGTGCGCGGCTTTTGGGGGGCCGCGGGGGGACCAAACTCAGGCGCGCAAGACGCTACTATTGCATCGCAATCAGTGATCGGGGGACCCCATTGTGCCCGCACCAAAGGTCACTCCGGCGAAGGGTCACTCTTACGTCTAGTCGAAAAAACCGGTCCCGGGGAAAAGGTCTCGGCTCTCCGGGACCGCGAATCGAAACAATCAGGTCGTCGCATGTCTGGGAGAATGCGGCAGGGCAGGTGCTCGCTCCGTCGCTGCTGCGTCGGGCGCCCGTCAGCTGGAGTAGGAGCTGCGCAGAAGTTGCGTCGAACTAGAGTCGGGGCGTGGACCTTGAGGAACCTCAAATGAGGAACGGGGCCCCTTTCTCCCATACGTGGAACTTCGACTTCCCATGGAAAACCTCCGGAAAACCGAAGGCAAACTGCAATACAATCAAGGAACGCCGAGCCCCTCTCCAACGAAGAGGGTTCCTTCTTCAGGGCCCCGACGGTAGAATCGAGCGGATGCGTTGGGTGGGCCCTAGGAGAAACCCCCCAAACCAGCAGCTGAGGCAGGGGCAGGGGGAAGGGCCCGGGGGACAGGGCAGCAGGACGAGACGGGCCCCCCCTGATCGAAATCTGGCGAACGCTGGCGTTGCTCGGATCATACCGCCGCCGTGCACTGCAAGTGGGCACAGGGAACCAGCAACACCCGGTCTGTGCTGCTGGTGCCGACTGTCCTCCTGACGCCCGGGCGATTCCCTCGAACTCATATTCGCCCGGGCGATCCCCACCAGGGAGGTGCTGCGAATGACTTCGAACACCTGCGTAAGAGTCGCGCATAGGACTCACACACCTTCTTCATGCTTGGTGTGCACGCGTCTTGCTTGCATGTGCAATAGATACGCGCGTACGTTGCATGTGATGCTCATGCATGTTAGTATAACCTTCGCACATGTCATGTACGTAAGCTCATAGTGTGTACTAGTGTTGTTCTTGGCATGTGCTGCTAGCGCACGTGGTTTATTATGCAGGTCATGTGTGTATGGTCTTGGCATGTGTTAGGTGCGCATGCGATTGGCACATCATCTGGGCGTCTGCTTCAAATTCAGGTTCGTGGTGCACGGTCTCACATTACTGCTGTTGAAGCCTGCTCCTTTTGTATGATACTCATGTCTGTTCGATGTGCATGCTCTGGGTGCACGATCTTGCTATTTGTCGCAGATGGACGTTGCACTTGTCCATTGTTAATGGATCCTCTCGATGTAAGTCGCCATGCGCGCATGTCTAATATGGTATTGGTGTATGCTCTTGGTGGTCGTCCTTGCTGTCTGTGTTTGGTGTATGTTCCCAACGTCTGTTCTGGATTTGTGTCATCGATGCCTGTCACTGATGGATGTTGCTGTTGCCTCTTATCGGTGTGCGTTATTGACTCAGTGTGCGATGTGTGGCTGTTATGAATTAGTTGTCGGATGTTAGTGGTGAGTGCCACTGGTGTATGCAATTGATGTATGATGTGCTGCTGGTTATTGGTGTGTCTGTGATGTCAGTGGTTGATGTATGCTTTTGGTGCTGTGACTGGTGTATGTCTTTGCTGTTTGCTCTTGGTGCACATTCATAGTGTCGGCTTGGAGGTCCGTGCTCTGAGTGTCTGTGGACAATGTGAGCTCGTGACGGCTGCCATGTCTTATTAGTCTTAAGTCGGGCCTGTCCCCCTACAGGGGGATTATGAGCGAAAAATAAAAATACCCCCAAAGTGCTCCAAAATGGCCCAAAAATAATTTAAAAAATAGTCCCCAGACTATTGTTGTACTATTTTTGAACATCCCCTCTGTAGAGGGACAGGCCCGACTGAATATTAGTCGCGGGACGCTGGCGAGCAAGGGGATACTCGGGACTGCTGGGGCCCAGCGGCCGCGGTGTGCACGAGGGCGTTCGAGGCGGGATGATCTAGGTTATCTGGATGAATCGGGCCTAGCGGCCGCGGTCTGCTCGGCTACACGCAAGAGTGACCCTGGGTAAGAGTGACCTTTGGTGCGCAAGACTTTGGGGTGGCCGCGGGGGGGCCAAACCCAGGCGCGCAAGACGCTACTATCGCATCGCGTTCGGTGATCGGGAGACCCCATTGAGCCCGCACCAAAGGTCACTCCGGCGAAAGGTCACTCTTATGTGTGGTCGATCTGCGGGGCTGGCGGTCCACACCAGGCGTCAACTCGCACGCGCGCCGGGCACGACACCACCGGGAAGTGCGACTTCCTCGCGGGGTTGGCCTCGCAGAAGGTCGTCGCAATGCCCTCCTCACCCTCCTCCCTCTCCCCCTTGGCGGCCAACTAGTTTTTCTCGGCGTAGAGTGAACGAACGGGCTGACAGAACTGCCAAGCCGGGAGCCGCCTTGCACCCAGACTCTCCTGAGAAGAGGCACCAGCGAGTAGCCCACCGTGTGGCTGTGTCGAGAGCTGTGGTCAAGCTCTCGGCCAAAACAACGCCTCTCTGGCCGCGGACACGTCTGGACGGAGCCCCGCCTGCCCCGGAGCCGCCAGCGGTACCTGGCCCGCCGCCCGAACCTCACGAGCAGGGGTAGGCAGGCCGCCCCGCACTTGCTGGCAGTGCCCGTCACGCCTGCGAGGCCCTCGCTCGACCGCAGAGCCGCCGAGCGGCAGGTGCAGCGATCACCTCAGAGCCGAGGCGCAATCCTTGCGCGACCTGGGCAACCGCTGCGTGCTGAGGTTGCAGTGGTGAGCATTTTTTTTTTTTTGTGTGTGTGGGTGTGTGTGTGTGTGTGTGTGTGTGTGTCAGCGGTGCGGCTGTTTCACCTCGGGTGAGAGCCCCGCAGACCTGTTCGCCGCATGCAAGCCTCTCGCTGAGCCTCACAAAATCGAAAACTGGAGACGGCTCGGCAAAGGGCTCCGCCCGATGGAACATCTGTATCAGTCGAGCCTTTCTCGTCTAGGTCGGGTGTTCGGCCGTTTGTGTCAAAACATGCCTCTGCCACCTGCTCTTGCTCCCTCCTCCTTCATCCTTCCATCTTCCCCCTTCCTCGTTCCACGCAATCTCATTTCCTTCAAGATACCTCCTCCTCTTCTGACCACCAGGCGTCTCGGTAGCGCGGGCCAGGCGTTTCGCCTGAGACGTCCTCACAATATATGGTCCTGATGCTTGACCATTGCCAGCAAATGAAACGAGAGATGGGCGGGCCGTTGTCAACATAGAGCTCTCGCCATAACGCCGCGAACATTCGTCTTACAAGTTTTCAGCTGTGGCAGGGGTTGAGGGGGCCGTATTCAAACTGAAGCTCTCGCCCTCGCGCCGCGAACATTCGTTTCACAAGCTTGTAACATTTACAAGGATGGATGGTGATCGTTTTCAACAGGGGGCTCTCGCCATAGCGTCTCGACTCTCCATTTCAAAGCTTGCGGCGACTACAAGGACGGAGGGGGGGTCTTTCTCAAAATGAAGCTCTCGCCTTAGCGCCGCGAACATCAGTCTCAAAACACTGCAGCGGCTACAAGGATGGATGGTAGTGTAATGTTCACAGTGGGGTTCTCGATGTAGAAACGCACACATTCGTCTGAACACTTCCCAGCAGGCGCGTGGACGTAGGACGAATCCTCAAAAAAAACCTCTCGCTGCAGACAGGCTCATGCAAAACTACAACTATCTAGCAGCTGCACGCATGAGGGCGATTCATGTTCAAAGTGCCGCTCTCGCTTGCGGCTTTCTCGAATTGAGCGCCCAGTCGTGCAAACTATCCTGCGCAACGAGTGCACGCATCGGGGAGCCCCTTTCTCAAAGCCAAGCTATCGCTGGACACCTCGTTGAACTGCGGTCATACTTTTTGGCATGCCTTACTTTCCGCCAAAAAAGGTGCACGGCAATTCCTATCACATCGGGGCCGTCGCACGTGTGGCGTGCCAGTCGGGTGCCGGTCCTTCCAGGGGGCCTCTCCTGCAGTGAACAGGGGCGACTTGTGGGGACCTGTGAGGAGGGGGCTCTGAACAGGAGGGTGTACTGCAGCATCGTTGATGCATCTTGGGTCCACTCTGGTCCTCCTGATCCTCCTCCTCCTCCTACTCCTCCTCCTCCTCCTCCTCCTCCTCCTCCTCCTCCTCCTCCTCCTCCTTCTCCTCCCCGCTTCCTCCTGCTCCCCCTCCTCCCCCTCGCGGGGGACAAGAGGGTCGCGATGCGGCTGCTCCCCAGACCTCTCTGAGGGTGCGCTCTGACCAGATTCAAAGTCGAGGCGAATCCAACCGTGGCAACAAGGGCAGGGTTTGGCGACATCGATGTCGGTTCCTCGCCTTCCTCTCCTCTTCCTCCTCCTCTTCCGCCTCCTCCTCCTCCTCCTCCTCCTCCTCCTCCTTCTCGTGCTCCTCCTCCCAGGGCTGCTCCAGCGATCCCTCTCCTGGCACAGAACTCGCCCAGTTCCCAGCCCCGAGGGCACCCGTCCCCGCAGGCCCGCACGCGCCCCCTCTGCTCCACGCTGCATCCTCCGCCTGCGCCGGCCTCGCTCCAAGGGGCCCATGGGGCCCGCAAACACACAATTAGGCACGAGTCCCACGATAGGGGAACAAACCAGTGACATACACATAACAACTCGGAGGTCCGCGCGGATTTCTCGGGTCGGCGCTGGACCCCCCCTCCCTGGCGCGCGGAGCGCGCCAGGGGCGGCGCCGGAGGCGCCGCTGGGGGGCCCCAGCGCCGATCCGAGAAATCCGCGCGGACCTCCGAGTTTTTATGTTTATGGCACTGTTTGTTTCCCTGCACGAGTCCCCATCTTTCTCCATCTGTTCTGGACTTTCACATTCCCCCCCCCCGCTTCCCCTGGGTCCCCTACTCTCCTGGGAATCGACGATCGCACTCGTGTCTGTGATTGTCTGTGCGGTTCTGTTCCCTACTGGCACGCGCCGACTGGACCGTGTCACAGACTGGCACGAAGCCCGAGCACACGACGACCGAGCCCCCTCCGTGACGGGACCCTCGCCCTCGAGGCTACCCATGCGGCCCATGCGGCCGCCCGCCCTCGTCCTGGAGCGAGGCGGGGGCGGGGTCGTCACGGGAGGGGTCGGTCTGCTGGGGATCGGCCCTGCCGCCCCTGAGCGGATGCTGCCACGAAGCGAACGGGCCCCGAGGAAAACCCCTTCCCTTCGACCAGCCCTTCAACCCGAGTCGGCTCTTGACGACCCCGAGGGGCCCGCCGAGGCCCCGAACGCTGCCGAAGACTCCCGGGGGCGGTTCTTCCCGGGGCCCGCTTCCTTCAGGGCGACACAAGGTGAAGAGGCTTGGCGCTCGAAGGAGCTGGCGCGGAGCGAGGCGATCTTGGCGAGCCCGCTGCTGCCTCGCCTCGCCCACCGCGGGAGCTGAAAAGCGGGCCCGGGAGGCCCAAACTGCGCTGGACATACTGAGGGATCGAACATCGAGAATCGATCCTCGAGGTTCGAGGGCCGTGGGGCCACTGTGGGGAGGAGACAGGGGGCAGACTTGGCGACGGAGGCGCGCCGCCCTGGCGACGACAGCGAGGGGAGCGGGGAGAGGGCTGGCAGGAAGCGCGGAACGAAAGGAATGTGCAGAGAGCGAGGGGATGGAAGAGGCAACTCAGCTTGACAATCTGGCTACGGAGACTGCGACTGTAAGGCGCAGCCGACACGGCTGGCACCCAGAAAGCTGGGCCTGCAGGCTTTGTCTGGCTGGCTGGCTGGCTGTCTCTCAAAGCAACGAAGGTGAAGGCTAACGCTTCCCCTCGATCCCGTCGGCCCCCTCCCCTTCGGGCGACGAGGTCTACACCCAGAAGTCCCGACCCTTTCCCCGGGGCCGGTTTGTCGTCCCGACCCGTTTTCTGACGACCCCGGGGCCTGGCGAGGGCCCCCTGGGGCCGAACATAGCGAAACACCGCGACAAGCCGCCCGCCCCGATGTCTTTTTTTTGCGACGCGGTCCTGTCTGGGTGCATAGGGGTGGGCGACGCGATCCTGTCTGGGTGCACGTCCACCGCCCCTAAAAAGGCCCGCCCCGTGCCCGGGAGCCGCGTGCACGCCCCGCCCGCCGGCCCGCCGCTGGCCCGGGGTCCCAGGGCGGGCCTGGCCGGGGGGCGGCGACGGCGCGTGCTGAGCTCGCCGCCCTGCCTCTCCCCGTGGGGCCTCGGCGTCGGGGGGCTCCCGCCCCGGCGCCGCTGCCTCGCCGATGCCTCGGCGACGCCCCGGGGACGCCGCGGCGACGTCGGCGAGAGGCATCGGCGACGTCGGCGCTCGGGAAGTCGGACCCCACATCGAGCCGCACCGCCGACGCCTCGGCGTCGGGGGCTCCCGCCCCAGCGCCGCTGCATCGCCGATGCCTCTCAGAGGAGGGGAAAAAACACACAGACACAATTAATCGTCGAGTTCCAAGAAAATATGGGAAAATATGGGAAGTGGGGGGGAAGACAAAAACCCAGAAAATATGGGAAAATATGGAGACTATTTCTATTTGTGTGTATCTATTTGTCTGTCCTGGGGCCCCTTCAGCCTCGGCGATGCCCCGGGGATGCCCCGGCGACGTCGGCGATAGGCATCGGCGACGTCGGCGCCCCGGAGGTCGGGCTCCACACCGAGCCGCACCGGCGACGCCTCGGCGCTGCGGCGCGGCCCTCCGAGCCCAACCGGTCGGAGCCCCTCGGGGAGGCCTCGCTGCGAGCCTCCGCCCCCTCAGCACAGGGCAGTTTTTGATACATGGGATTTTTAAGACTATAGGATTTTTGACTCATGATCAATGTATGAATGAATTTATGCATGAACTCATCGTTGCTTTTACTACTGAACCCCTGCATCTTCAATACATGATCCGCACGCGGAGCACGTATTCAAAACGGCACTGTATCGCCCCAGCAGCACCAGGTCACAGATGTGCCAGCACGGCCCTGGCTCCAACATTGGGTCAGAACGCAGGCTTGCGGCGCCCGCGGTTCGCGGGGCGCACGGGCCCCCGTGGCCCTCCACCACGGCAGGCCGGCTGGAAACCTCGAGGGCTACTTGAAAAGAGGCATATCACGGTAGCCGCGGTGTGCGGGGCGCGCGGGCCCCCGTGGCCCTCCACCACGGCAGACCGACTAGAAACCTCGAGGGCTAGTTGAAAACAGGTAGGCTTAGGTCGGGCATGTCGTCCTCTATACAAGGGGATTTTGGACGAACAATCAAAAAAACATCTCGAATCAAATCCAACAACAACTCTCAAAAACTCGGACTATAATATTCCCCCTGTAGAGGGACAGGCCCGACTTCAAGGTAGGTTCCAGGTAGGCAAGAGAACCCCCGCAAAGAGCGGGGGGTAAAAAAATTCAGCGCCGTGCCGCCCAAAGCGACGCCCACCCCCCGGCGAGCCGCACTCCGGAGCCGGAGCGCAGGGCGCGGGTGCGGCGGGGTGCGGCGGGATCTAAAGCTGCGTGGCCCCATACGGGGCACATTCCGTCCACCTCCCTGGGAAGAACAAAAAATGACTAACATCAATTTTTGGAGGTCCGCGTGGATTTCTTGGATCTGCGCTGGACCCCCCTCCCTGGCACGCCGAGCGCGCCAGGGGCGGCGCCGGAGGCGCCGCCAGGGGGGCCCAACGCAGATCCAAGAAATCAGCGCCAAGCGCCAACAGTTTATGTTTATGCCGCTTTTTCTTCCTCGGATATAATCTGCGTGGCCCCATGCAAGGCACATTCCGTCCACCCCCGTGTTTGCGGAGACAGCAGGCAACAACGACCACATCGAGGACACACCCTTGGGGACGTCTTGCGCATGGCAAAAACTGGCTGAGTGCCGCTGCTGGGGGCAACCAAAAGATACCCATACCATTCCTCCCCGGACCTCCCCCCGGGTGCGTTCAGTTCTGACCAGAGCTCCGAGGCGAACCCGGCGGTGGCAACGAGGGCCTCCGAGGAGGCCAACCAAGGCGACAACGAGGGAAGGGCAAACTGAGTGGCTACACGTAAGAGTGACCCTGGGAAAGAGTGACCTTTGTTGAGCAGGGACCGACCGTCCCGGCATTCCTTCAGTCCTACCACGCAATGTTCGTAGAACCCAAACATGTTCTAAGAACAAGAACAGTGTTCTCCGATCATAAGCCCGATGTGTAAGAACAAGACAGACTCCGCCAGAAGTGTTCTGAGAACAGTTCGCGGGAACCACAAAAGGTTCTTAGAACATGGTTTGGTGGGGCTACAGGCGCGTCAGGACGCTTCGCCACTGCTTGACTTTGGTGCGCGGCTGAACGGGGGTGGCCACAGCTGGGCGCGCAGGCCGCTGCTGCCGTTGCGCGCTCCGCGATCGGGGGAGCCCCGTGGGCCCGCACCAGGGGGCCACTCCTGCAAAAGGTTACTCTTACGTGTAGTCTCAAGTCGGGCGTGTCCCCCTGCCTACAGGGGGATTTTCGACGAACAACTAAAAATGCGCCAAAAATGCTCCCGAATGATCAAGCAAATACTCCAAGATCGTCCCCAGACTATTTTTGGACTGTTCTTGACATTTCCTCCTGTAGAGGGCCGGGCCCGACTGAAGTGTAGTCGAGTAGGTATGGGCCCAGACATGATCGCGTCGTAAAAAATTCAGGACGGAGGTTTTTCATGATTTTTGGCCTCTAGAGGCCCTCGCCGGGCCTCAGGACCGTCAAAAAACGACCCAGGACGAAACACCGGCCCCAGGGAAAGGGCCTGGACTTCGGGGGACGCTGTCCTGAAACAATCAGGGCGTCGCCTGTCTGGGGGCACCTCTCCTCCCCGCCGCCCCACTATTTCCCAACCATCCTGTGGTGTTGGGTCCTCGTTTTGAAGAGACGTCGCCCCGCGTTCCTTCCTTCCTTCCCGCTGCCCCCTCCCTCCTCCCATCTTCATCATCATCGTCATCATCCCCATCATCGTCATCGTCATCATCATCTGTCGTCATCATCATTATCACCACCCATGTCGGCACACCCCTCACACGTTTCGTGACCCCATAGGGAGCTCCACCGAAGGTCCCAGTGCGTGTGCCCGCATGCGTCCCGCACACTCATTTCGGCACACCCCTCACACGTTCGTGGCCCCATAGGGAGCTCCACCGAAGGTCCCAGTGGGTGTGCCCGCATGCGTCCCGCACACCCATTTCGGCACACCCCTCACACGTTTCGTGGCCCCATTGGATCGCACACCCATTTCTCATTTCGTGGCCCATAGGGAGCTCCACCGAAGGTCCCAGTGGGTGTGCCCGCATGCGTCCCGCACACCCATTTCGGCACACCCTCACACGTTTCGTGGCCCCATAGGGGGCTCCACCGAAGGTCCCAGTGGGTGTGCCCGCATGCGTCCCGCACACACATTTCGGCACACCCCTCACACGTTTCGTGGCCCCATAGGGAGCTCCACCGAAGGTCCCAGTGGGTGTGCCCGCATGCGTCCCGCACACCCATTTTGGCACACCCTTCACACTATTCGTGGCCCCATAGGGGAACTCCACCGAAGGTCCCAGTGGGTGTGCCCGCATGCGTCCCGCACACCCATTTCGGCACACCCCTCACACGTTTCGTGGCCCCATAGTAGCTCCACCGAAGGTCCAGTGGGTGTGCCCGCATGCGTCCCGCACACCCATTTCGGCCCACCCCTCACACGTTTCGTGGCCCCATAGGGAGCTCCACCGAAGGTCCCAGTGGTGTGCCCGCATGCGTCCCGCACACCCATTTCGGCACACCCCTCACACGTTTCGTGGCCCCATAGGGAGCTCCACCGAAGGTCCCAGTGGGTGTGCCCGCATGCGTCCCGCACACCCATTTCGGCACACCCCTCACACGTTTCGTGGCCCCATAGGGAGCTCCACCGAAGGTCCCAGTGGGTGTGCCCGCATGCGTCCCGCACACCCATTTCGGCACACCCCTCACACGTTTCGTGGCCCCATAGGGAGCTCCACCGAAGGTCTCAGTGGGTGTGCCCGCATGCGTCCCGCACACCCATTCCGGCACATCCCTCACACGTTTCGTGGCCCCATAGGGAGCTCCACCGAAGGTCCCCGTGGCGCAGTCCACATGCGTCTCCTTTGCCCAGTACAGCGTTACGTGGCCCCATATGGAGCCCCACCGCAGGTCCCAGCCAGCCAGCTAGCTCTCTTTGCTCCGCGCAGCGGGCGACCCGCGCGCGTCGCTGGGACTCCTCCGGGGCGACCTGCGCGCGTCGCGGGGGCTCCGTGCTGCGTTCCGCCCAGCGCCTCGCTCGCCCGTCGTCGCTCTGCCCAGCGGCAAGAGCCTTGCCCGCTATCAGCCAGCCAGCTAGCTCTCTTCGCTCCGCGCAGTGGACGACCCGCGCGCGTCGCTGGGACCCCTCCGGGGTGACCTGCGCGCGTCGCGGGGGCTCCGCGCTGCGCTGCTCCCGCAGCCTTGGACTTTTGAGTGCGCGGGCAAAGAGGGAGTAAAGGAAGGGGAGGAAGCGGGCGCGATCCTCGCGGGGGGGCGCGCCGACATTGGCGTCGCGGCGCGCGGGCGATGCCGTCGGGGAGTCCCGGGGAAGCTCCTTGCGGCGGCCACGCCCAGCGTCACGAGTATTCAGAGGCAGTCGTTGTCAAACTATTGGCATTCATACACATTTGCACCACGCTTTGTCATATTCGCATTCATGCACGTAGACTCGCTCGCACGCAGATCATTCACAGTCAGACGCACGCGCGCAGATTCACCCGCGCTCAGTCTCCCTACGTACTCAGATCAATCGTTTTCGTTCACTTTGTGTACCACGCCACTCATGTCGGCACGCCCCTAGCACGGTTCGTTGCCTCATAGGGATCGCCACCGAAAAAATGAATCACTATTGCGGTACTCGCACCTGCATATGGTTGGGTCCCTCGTCAGGCTAATTTTTGACTGTTCTTGACATTCCCTCCTGTAGAGGGCCGGGCCCGACTGAAGTGTAGTCGGCTAGGTGTGGGCACCTCTCCTCCCCTCCGCCCCACCGCTGCCGGCGCCGTCAGAAGACGCGCGAGGGCACGTGCAGCGGGTGGCCCCGCGGCTGCTTCCGCCACGCGGCCCCGCCCGCCGCGAGCGGCGCGCCCAGGCCCTGCGGCAGCGCCGCGGGCTGCTGCTTCTTCGGCGCGCCCGCCGCGAGCAGCCCCCCGCGGGCCTCGCCCGGCACGCCCGGCACGCCCGGCACCTCTGCCGGCGGCGCCGCGGGGCCCACTGATTCAATTGCATGAAGAAGAGACAGGTATAGTGCATAACGTAGAGTTGAGGGGCACTTGCGGAACTTATGAGGCCAGCTTTTTAAGTAGGTTTATATCAATTCCAAGTGAATATATATCTCAGATAAGTTTGGTAAGTTCCCCCTCTGTTTCTCGTACCTTGGCCACAAACCAATAACTCGATAATGGAACGGGTAAAATTATCCTGGCGAAGGACCCAACCATATGCAATTGTGAATACTGCAATTGTTGATATCTTCTCGGTGGAGCCCCCTACGGGGCCACGAAATGTACGAGGGGTGTGCCGAAATGGGCGTGCGGGACGCATGCGGGCACACCCACTGGGGCCTTCGGTGGGGCTCTCTATGGGGCCAAGAAACGTGTGAGGGGTGTGCCGAAATGGGTGTGCGGGACGCATGCGGGCACACCCACTGGGACCTTCGGCGGAGCTCCCTATGGGGCCACGGAACGCGTGAGGGGCGTGCCGAAATGGGTGTGGCTGACGCATGCGGGCGCGGGCACTGGGGCCTTCGGTGGAGCTCCCTATGGGGCCACGAAACGTGTGAGGGGTGTGCCGAAATGGGTGTGGGGGACGCATGCGGCCGCGGGCACTGGGGCCTTCGGTGGAGCTCCCTATGGAGCCACGAAACGTGTGAGGGGTGTGCCGAAATGGGTGTTGGGGACGCATGCGGCCGCGGGCACTGGGGCCTTCGGTGGAGCTCCCTATGGAGCCACGAAGCGAAACGTGTGAGGGGTGTGCCGAAATGGGTGTGGGTGACGCATGCGGCCGCGGGCACTGGGGCCTTCGGTGGAGCTCCCTATGGAGCCACGAAACGTGTGAGGGGTGTGCCGAAATGGGTGTGGGGGACGCATGCGGCCGCGGGCACTGGGGCCTTCGGTGGAGCTCCCTATGGAGCCACGAAACGTGTGAGGGGTGTGCCGAAATGGGTGTGGGTGACGCATGCGGGCGCGGGCACTGGGGCCTTCGGTGGAGCTCCCTATGGAGCCACGAAACGTGTGAGGGGTGTGCCGAAATGGGTGTGGGTGACGCATGCGGGCGCGGGCACTGGGGCATTCGGGCGGAGCTCCCTGGAGCCACGAAACGTGTGAGGGGTGTGCCGAAATGGGTGTGGGTGACGCATGCGGGCGCGGGCACTGGGGCCTTCGGTGGAGCTCCCTATGGAGCCACGAAGCGTGTGAGGGGTGTGCCGAAATGTGTGTGGGTGACGCATGCGGGCGCGGGCGCTGGGGCCTTCGGTGGAGCTCCCTAGAGCCACGAAGCGTGTGAGGG